GGGAAACCCAAAGCGCAGAACCACCCCTCGGAGACCCGTGTTATGGCCCTGCGAACGCGCACCCCCTGGGCTAGGGCTCTCTTGCCCGCAACCCGATGCCGAGCGTCCGGCCAACTGGGTGCGCTTCTTAGCTCCCCGGTCCTGGGCGTGAGGTTGATGACCGCACTCCAAGTGCTCCAAGGGCAGGCGGCGGCGTCGCAGGACGAGGCAGAAGAGAACGACGCGACAGAGGAGGAAGTGACAAGGGAGAGAACGACGAGGGTGGGACGACCGCGAGGTGGCATGAAGGTTGCAGCGAGAATCGGCGAGAGACTGCGAAGAGAGATAGGAAGAGGCAGACTCCCTAGGGTGGGCGACGGATAGCGCACCACACACCTCTCCTTAAAATCCCTGTGTGGTGGCGGCGTGCCGTCCTCCCATCCCTCCCTTGGGTTGTCTGTTTTCTTTCTTTCTTTTTCACATTACAAGGCATGAAGGTTGCAGCGAGAAGCGGCGAGAGACTGCGAAAAGAGATACGAAGAGGCAGACTCCCCAGGGTGGGCGACGGCTAGCGCACCACACTCCTCTCCTTAAAATCCCTGTGTGGTGGCGGCGTGCCGTTCTCCCATCCCTCCCTTGGGTTGTGTGTTTTCTTTCTTTCTTTCTTTCACATTACAAGGGACATTCTGCAACAGTGCAGTGAGGAGTTCAGGCCGGGGCCCGAGCCCCTAGGGCGACAAGACATGCGCAGAGGGCGGTGAAGCGCGGTGGGGGGCCGAAGTCGAAGACGAAGAGAAAGAGTTTGAGAGTATCTCCGCAGAGCTCGAAGTCTCGCAGCGATCACGGATCGAGGGTTGGCACGAGCGTAACCAGCAAGTGGTTAACACGATGGCCTGCTGAGCCAAGTTATGGCGATGGCCCGCCATGTGGTCAGGAAGTGAGGGTTGGGGTGATCCGGTGTGACAGTGCTGCACCGACCCGTAGGGGTCGGTATGCAGAGGATGCTCACGGCAGGCCGCCATTGCCGGTGCCTCCTCCTTCTTCTCCTCCTCCTCCGGCCCCCCACCAGCCCCGCCGCCCAAGGCCCCTGCCTTGCCAACCGAGGGGGGGTGCCACTGAGGTGTGGCCGAGGGTGCCGCCGCGTGCCCGCCGGTGCCCATGGATGGATGGGGTGCATCGGCCTTGGGAGCCCGCGGGGCCAGCCGCCGCCAGCGCTGCCGCCACGCCGCCGGCCACGCCCGCGGGTGCGCCGCCTGCGCCACCTTCTTGTCCACCTCTGGTTCTGCCCTTGCAAGGGCAGCTGTGCTCTGCCGCGCGGGCCGTGGGTTGGCCCTCGAAAGAAAGAAATTAGGCGTCGAGCTCCTGCAACACGTGGCAGCAATGAGCGATAGCCGACGAGAACTCCTGCTCAGCGCCGCGCTCGCTGCCTCCGTCGCGCTCCTGCTCGACCGCTGGCTCCGTCGCCGCGGGAGAGGCACCGGCAAGGATGCGCTCGCCCGAGAGTTGGCCCGCCTCGAGGCGCGTGCCGAGGACGTCAGGGAGGCGCTCGCTGGCCTGGACGAGCCTCCGCAGCGAGAGGTGCGGATCTGGATGGACGGCGCGTTCGACATGATGCACTACGGCCACGCCAACGCGTTCCGCAAGGGCCGTGCCCTCGGCACGCACCTCATCGTCGGCGTCAACGACGACGAGTCCATCCTACGCTGCAAGGGCGCACCACCGGCGAGCTTCCGCCGCACACAGAGACACACACAATCGCCCCAGCTCCGATCCGCCGCGAATCGCCTCGCTCCGCGCGGATCACCGCACGCCGCTCGTCCATGCGCGCTGAGTCGCCGCTCCCTCACCGCGCCGCTCGCAGCTGATGAACGACGAGGAGCGGCTCGCGATGGTGCAGGCGTGCAAGAGCAAAGGCCAGCACTGCAAAAGTGCACGGCGGGCGGGGGAGTACACGCACGCGGCACACGCGCCGCACCACACGGGCTGCGCACGCGGGCTGCGCACCCGGGCGTGGGACTCCAATCACACTCCACGCCCAGCACACACACACACACACACACACACACACGCACGCGCGCACGCACGCACGCACGCAATCACAATCACGAGCCCTTGCTGCCGATCCGCATCCTGCACCGGCCGCGAAAGAGCTCCGGAGGAGGGAGGTGTCTAGGGACGGTCCGACGCACGGTGCTGGGGCGCGTGTCTAGGCGTGCAAGTTTGTGGACGAGGTGGTGCCCAAGGTGCTGACCCTAACCCTAACCCTAACCGTAACTCTAGGCGTGCAAGTTTGTGGACGAGGTGGTGCCCAAGGTGCCCTACATCATGTCGCCAGAGTACCTGCGCTGGGCGAGCCGGGCCCGCACCAGCGGCGGCAGCAGCCCCCCCCCCTTGTGAGGGAGAGGCTGCCCTCCTGCAGGCGATCGAGACCTACCGCATCGACTACGTCGTCCACGGAGACGACCCGTGCATCGTCGACGGCAGAGACGTCTACGAGTCGGCGAGCGCAGCGGGAACCCGCAACTCTCACCCGCAATCCTCACCCTCACCCTCACCCTCACCCTCACCCTCACCGCAGCCTCTCCAGCCCTCTCCAGCCCTCTCCAGCCCTCTCCAGCCCTCACCCTCCCTTTCGAGCCCTCTCCAGGCCGCGCAGCGCAGGCGTCGACGCCCCGTGCTCGCCCCGGACAGGCGCGCGCGCTGGGCAAGTACCGCACCATCCCGCG